CTTGATCCTCCCAGCAAGCTCTTTCTCGACCCAGGCCGGTCTCCCGACTGATCCACTGAAGGAAGACCGACCAGACTTCATATTTGGGCTGGAAGTTGTTGAAGTCTGCAAATGCACATGGCAACATTTCAAGAAACTCTCATTAGCTTAGTTGATTGACAGTCAGGGGGAGAGGAAGTTTAGATAATTGTTTATGAAAAGCAAAGATAGATAAAACTATGAATAAAAAAATACATATGTAAGTCAGTCAACTCATTAAACAAAAAGAAACACTAGGTAAGTAGCAAAGCCACAAATGCCGGATAAAGTCATACATAAAAGTTCATATTTTTCAATATTATAAATAAATATGTATATGAACAAATCTAAAAAGAATCAAAGATATTGTCTTCACTCATCTCATTCAAGAGACAATGCCCAGATAATAACAAAAATAACTTTCTGTGGAACAATGATGATCCTTACCTGATCAACTCTGATAAGGAATGATAGTGAAAATGAAGATGGTGAAAATATCAAAATCCTAACTATTACTATTATTAAGCACTTCACTGAACTACAGCAACAGCAGCAATAATCATTACAGTAGTAAGAGGAGGAGGAGGGGTAATACTAGTAATAAAGTAATAGTAACATTGGGAGTAATAAAAGTAATAGTAATAGTAGCCACCAACAGTGAAGATAAATCATCACTTGTTCTCAAGAAGTGACGTGCACAAACTTCAAGGAAGGCAATGGTCCAGCTGATAAAATGGGGCCTCCCCTAAAAACTGCATTTTTCATTCCCTGATTTTGCCTTCAACGGCACTTAATATGAAGGTCAGCTCACCCAATGTGCACAACCCTGGGTCTCAAGCTAAAAGATGCAGCAACAGCAGCTGAAGTAGTAGTAGTAGATTTGGTAATATCATTAAATTACTACAGGAACAGAAACAGTAATCAGAAAGTAACATCAGCATCACCAGTTGTGGCGGTAGCAGTAGTTGTAGCACGAAAGGTGAAAGCAGCAGTAGTGGTAAGAATAACATGGCAAAGATTCAACTAGGTTTTCAAGATTTATGCGCTGTAGTTCCTAAAAAATAACTTTACTAATATTATAATTAACCCATTGCCAACAGGGAAAATGAATAAAAAATGGGGAAAATGCTGTGCTCATTTTTTTATATTTTTTGTGAAATGTCTCTACACATAGATGGCTCTGCCTTCCCTGATTTCACCTTTCCCTGAATTGGGAAGAATTTTTTTTTTTACTAGTGCTAAGAATATCAATGCTGTTATTTATATTATAAACATTACAATTAATATAATGTTATAAACATTATTAGTAGAAAAATAAGATAACGTAAAATATTTTCAAAAATTAATAATAAAAATACTATTATGACCATTACTACTACTGCTATTACTACTAACAATAACAATAACAATAAGAGTAACAGTGATGATGATTAGAATAATGATGATAATGCCAATAATAAAATAACAACAATAATAATAAAATAATAATAATGAAAATAACAACAATAATAATCTGTATTACATCTGCTTCTGCTTCATCCATCCATTTGTTTGCTTATAATATCTACATGTTGCTCATGACACCAAACTCCACATGAGTGTTGAGTTGAGTTGCTTCATTTTCAAGTAAAACAGGTGATAATTATCAAAAGACGACACACACATAAGAATGACAACAATAGTAATCATCATAATCATCATTAACATTATCATTATCATAATAATCATAATAATTATATGAAAATTATTAATAATACCAACAAAAAAATGACAATAACATGAACAATAATATTAGTAATAATACTAATGATAATAATAATGATATCAATAATAATAAAATAATAATAATAATAATGATGATGATAATAATAATAATAATAATAATAATAATAACAACAATAATAATAATAGTAATAATAATAATAATAATTCATAATGATAAAAACAATAATCAAGTGTTAACATTAATGCATAAATTTTACAAAAAATTGTGTAGTTCATCTATAATACAAATTCTAAATCTTTGATTTTGTACATCAAAATCAATGTACAGTTTCCATATACTTGGAAATATATATGTATATAAAATATACAGACAAAGGTATGCATAAACGTAAATATGACTTTTCCTGCTCTTCTTCACATTCTAAAATTAGTTGGCCAGTGTTTCCCCCTCTTTTTGGCCATCAGCATTCACAGATGCAATTAATGTTTCTTTTCCCAAATCATATCTCAAGAGATGGGAAAAATGCAGTCGCTAGACATAAATTACAAAACAAAACTTACAGAATATAAATTTTCAAATAGATGTATTTAGTGAAGAGAAAAGAGAAGAAAAGAAAAAAACATTGTCATTATCATCATTATTAATATTATTATTATTATTATCATTATAATTATCATAACAATACAACAACTACAACTACTACTACTACTACAACTACCAGTAACAATAATAATAATAATATCAAAATAATAGTAAGAATAAAAAAAATAATAGTAATGATATTACTGATAATGATGATGAGGATACAAATTATAGTGACAATAGATGATAACAATAATGATGATAACAATGATGATAATAATAAATAATAATAATCATCATCATTATAATAATAACAATAATAAAAACAACAACAACAACAACAATAATAATAATAATAATAGTAATAATCATGTTACCAACAACAATAATAATAGTGATGACAATGATGATACTAAGAATAATGATAATAATAATAATAATGATTAACAAGAAAAATAAGAAAAATAAAAAAATAACAATAATAACGACAATAATTGTAATACAAACAATGATGATAATAATGACAATAACAATAACAATAATAATAATAATAATAATAATAATAATAACAACAACAATAATAACAATAATGATGATAATGATAATGAAAATAATAATATCAATAATAATAACTATAACAATAATAATGATGATGGTGATGATGATAATAATAATAACTAATAATAATAATAAAAATAATAATAATAATAATAATAATAATAATAATAATTATAACACTTATAATAACAACAACAACAACAACAACAATAATAATAATAATAATCATAATAATAAAAGCAGTAATAACAACAACAAAACAACAACAATAATGATAATAATAATAATAACAATAATAATATACTACTAATAATAATATAATAGTAATAATAATAACATTAACAATAATAATGATATAATAATAATAGTAACAATAAAAAAATAATAATAATAATAATATCAATAATAATCATCATTATCATTATTATCCTTGTTATCATCAATCTTATTTTCATTATCATTATCATCATCATCCTCATTATTACTATCATGATCATCACTATTATTATTAACAATACCATCACTATCATTATCATCCTCACAATAAGAAGAGGAAGAATAGACACATCCGCCATATCTCTTGCAACTGAAAACTCATAGAAGCTAAGCTCGTTCTAACAGAAGGGCAAGGCCACACATACTCATTCCTTTCATGCTGCCTCAACAAAGCTGCAACATGGTGGAGGAAAACATAAAAGTGTCAAACTGCTCTCTCCACTTTTGATGATGAGCATAAAAAATAAAAATAGCCAGTAAATGAATACTAACAACTAATCTACAGTATAATAGTTGTTTAATGTCAATGTCAGCGGGGTTATTTACTTCCCCTTTAGATTTTTGTGAGTTTTGTTACACACAGACGCCTCCACGTGTGCTCAGCAGCAAGGCGATCAGCAGCCCTCTCATTCCTTGAATTGGCGGGAAAATGTGTTTTTCTTTTCAATATACTAATACTACTAATACTGACATTGTTATGATTCTTATTGATATTATGATTATCAAGTTGTTATTCAAATATTAATATCATCAAAGATAATGAAATAATAGAAGTGAAGTTTTAAAAAAATTAAGTAAAACGGTAAACAGATGACATAAGACTAATAGCTGACTCCTTGGTGACTAAGCACTTGCAGAGCCATCTATGTGTAAAGACAATAGACAAACTTCTTATTACAGTGGGTACTGTAGTCTTGCCACCAGCGCACATTGGGTTAACCTAATGCTGCCGGGGAAGATGGAAAAAAAAAAAAATAATAATAATAATAAAAATAATAAAAATAAAAAGGGAAAATGCCGCCTTCATTTTTATGTTTGTGAAATGTCAGTGCACATAGATGGCTCTGCTAGTGCTTAGCCACAAAGGAGTCAACCAGTAGACCTTGTGACCTTTACTGATTTCTCCTTTCCTTGCATTGGCAGGAAAAACGTAATTTTTACTAGTGCTATAAATATCAATGGAGTTATTTTTATTATAACCATATTTTCGTAAATCACAGAAAAGGGTAAAAGGGCAAGACAGGCAGTACTCGTAATTAGCTCATTGTTGAGTTAGTACAAGTGTAGCCATCTATGTGTAAAAACAATCAAACAAGTAAACTCACAGTGGGCATGGCATACATGTACATGCCATGCCCATCGGCATTGGGTAGATAAGAAAGACTGAAATTTCCACACAAATAATTTCTTCTACTGAAAAAATAATAATGTCACAAAGTAACTAAAACCTAAACATTATAATACTTTTCAAATCTCTTAATAAGAGAGGACAGAATTCCCAGTAAAATGTTAAAAATAATGAGAAAAATGCCTTACATATGATAATTTCCTTTAATAGACAATATAATCCAAGCCTCAAGCTGAATATCTCATTACCATGGCTTCAGGGTCTTGGTACAGGCCACCCTTAAACTTATCATGGTGATCTCAATATTTCTATCCTTGTTTGCTAGATGAAATCACCAGTATAGTGGTCACCTAAAGGGACAGACAGACAGATAGATAGAAAGATAGATAAATAAAGATATATAGGCAGAGTGAGAATGAGAAAGGGTAAGGAAGAGAGAGAAGGAGAGAGAGAGGGAGAGGGAAAGGGAGAGGGAGGGAGAGAGGGAGGGAGGAGAGGGAGGGAGGGAGAGAGGGAGAGAGGGAGAGAGAGAGAGAGAGAGAGAGAGAGAGAGAGAGAGAGAGAGAGAGAGAGAGAGAGAGAGAGAGAGAGAGAGAG